ACACACTGTCTCACACAGGCTATGGCATCACACACCCATGAACATGAGCATAGTTTGTTGCGGGACCACCATAGCCTATTACTCTGGCAAAGTGCTGCTTGCAGCTGGGCCTAATGTCCCAAAAGCTACATGCGCTGGCTGCAACAGTGCAACTGGGGGGCAACCCCCTCCCCCTGAAGAATTGTTTTTCATTTTTTCACACTCATGGGTACGTGGGTGGCACTGAGCCCTTTTGGTTGCTTTGGGAAACCAAACCAGAGGCCCATAGAAGTACCTGCCAATTTTCTCAGATTTGGTTTCTTTGAAAACAGGTGTTTATGGCTCAAAATGGCGGCGCTAGGAAAAACAGAAAAGAATTGGGGCCGCTAGTAGGTAGTATGATACTATGGATACCTTTCTCGGCCTTTTGGCTAAAAATAGATCAAGTGTAGTATCTGTTCTGATCAGTTTAATATCTGATCTGTGGTCCATCGGGCCATAACCAAAAAAAAAAAAAAAAGAATTGGGGCCGCTAGTAGGTAGTATGATACTATGGATTAGTATGGAATGTATTTCTACTATTACTGCCCTTTTCTGGTTTTGTTTGGAATTGTTGTAATTCTGGAAAAATTTCCGAAAAATCCTAAATACTAAATACTAAATACTAAAACTAACTAAATACTAAAATTATGTAAATACTAAACAATTTTGAAATCTCTGATAAGATTTTTCTGGGACCTTTGGGATCTGCCTCACCCCCGGTTTTATGCAGAATCTGAAGCTTTTTTTTTCTTTTTTTTTTTTCCCGCTGGTCCAGTGGTTTCCTGGGTTAAACCCCTAGTCCCCCGTCCTAGTGTTATATAATAATTAAATTATAATTCTATTATTTAAATTTTAAAGCCATCAGACTCGCATGTGATTCAACCACCCGTACGTTTTTTCGCAGGCAAAGTGCATGCGCGCAGCAGTGCACGCGCCGTGCTATTCGGAATGCACCGGCCTGCCGTGCAAGGACAAATTCACTCATTTCGAACTGCCCTGGCAGACCTTGCCTTTCGAGTCCACGTGCTGCTGGTTTGATAAAATTTTGGTTTCAGTATTCAAAGTTTGTTCAATCATCCAATTTGTTACGTAGTTTGCAAAACTTTGTAAGCTTTTTTTTTTTTTTTTTTTTTTTCAAATCATGATGGCTGCAAAAATTTACAAATAATTGTGTGCACACTGCACAGTCAGGGAACAAGCGTTTTCAAGAGACGGAGACGCATTTCCGTAAGAGGCTTCGCTCCTTGTTTACCTCATGTCCACCTGTGGAAGATGGTTCAGGGCCATTCTCAGTCCTCGACATCAAGAAAATCACCGACTATTTCACCAGAAGGTATGACTGAAGTTACGGAGCACGAAGACTTCTGTGTCACACAGTTCAGAATTAGTTGTTTTCAAGTGTCTTGCAAAAAAAAAAAAAAAAAAAAAAAGGTGTCGAGTAAAGAGTAGCTGTGTCAAACAGTCACACTTTTACTATCGTAGTCTCTCTGTCACCTAACGTACACACGGAGCCTGTGAGACTGTGTGACACAAATCGTACGCGGCCTCTCCGTACGAAACGTACAGGTAATATCTGTACGGGAGCTGTACGGGAACCTGTACGTTATCTCGTCCGTTTTGTACGCCACTGTACA